GTAGGTGAATAATTTATAGAGCATATTGGGTGCATTTATGTGTATATTTATATGTATGTACAGGTATAATGATCGTATAGCATCTATGTATAGAGAAGATAAATGAGAAAGGTATAGGATTTGTTTCTGTAAAACGTACCGCGTTGCATTGTATTAAATGGCGGATTTCGACACGTGACACCATTTTGTGATGCATACGCGCTTTTGATATATCAATCAGAAGATTAAACTTGAAGATGACTTTCACTGAAATTACAGGAACGATGAGGAAAGAAATTACGAAGATAAACTAACAAAATTTTCTTTTCTGAACTTATAAATATAATACATAGATAAATATAATACATCACACAACCATCCATTAATAAATTATTAATTATTTCTACAAGTTTAGATGATCAATTAAGAAGATGTTTTTAATACAAACTTGCAAATTTTTACGTACATTTATGATTTTATTCTCATTTTAATACTTCAACAAAATATACATATGATGAAATAAAAAATTGTCAATTAAAAAATTATTTAGTCCCTTAAATATAAATGAAGAATATTCACAAAAATTGTACCTAAATTTCAAGGTATGTGTATAATATTTGATTCTCTCATAACTCCAAGGATATGTAACTTTTTAACTTCACTGACCAAGGTTTAACCCTTCAGATTGAAATGGTGAGCCAGGCTCGTCACAGTAACCTAATGCTAAAGTATACAATGACCAATCGTACTCGCCATAACGTTTCAGGTATTACATTTCACTTGAGAAAATTTTATAATGATCGTAACACGTGTTCTTTCCCTTTCAACCACTATCAGAAACCAAGAACATCTACATACTTCGTGAAGTTTGATCTTCAACTGCAGACCTCGATACTTTATGAAGAAATCATTAGGATTCAATGTAAGTAGGTTCTTATTTAACGATTAATTGTTTCGATGTAGAAATCATTATTTATTCCGTGTGAAAGTTAATTGTTTTGATGTAATGTATCTAATTTATTTAACGGCTGATTGTTTTAATGTGAAATTGCTAATTTATTTAATGGAAGAGTTTTCAGGGGTAAATTGCTAATAAGTTTAATGTGAAAGCTAACTGCTTTCATGTAAGAGGCTGTTTCAATCTATTTGTAATGGATTTGTAAAACTTGTAAAATCTTTAAATCTGCAAAATTAATAAAATTGGTAAAATCTGCATAATTGATAGAATTTGTAAAATTTGTAAAATCTGCAAAATTGATAAAATTTGTAAAATTTATAAAATTAATGAAATTTGTAAAATTGACAACATTAACAGAATTTGCAACATTAGTAACCTTTGTAAAATTTGTAAGATCTGTCCACTTGATAAAATTTTGTAAAATTTCTTATTTGTTTGTTACAATAAATGAAGAAGAAAAAAGATTAGGGTTAAGAAATATGATGTCAGGGATGAGCATTGGTAACAAGGATATATCAATTTCCTTTTTTCTCCGGTTATGAACAAAGAGAAGCAAGGAAGCTGTCTAATCAGAAAATTAGACACAGTACACACGTGGGTAGAGAACGATGTCAATTAGACGACACATATCCGAGAAGACTGGATCACTGCTGTTTCTGGTATCTAGATCCGGCTTGAATCTCGCACATCTAACAAGCTTTTGTCAGACTCAAGAAAAAGCATGTCCTTGATTCAATCGCGATCGAAACCTTGTATCCGTGAGTGAAAGTAAACTGGATATTTCTTTGTTAACAAAATTTATATCTTTACACTCATTTTTAGAATTTCAAGTCATATTTGTGGATTAGAAAATTTTTTAAGTTTGGAAGGTTGCTTGTTTTTTATTTTCTAAGTCGTAAACTTTTTAGTTTTCAAGTTTCTCTAATTTTGATATTTTCAAATTTTTAAATTTCCAAATTTCAAGATTTCCAAATTTTAAAATTTCCAAACTCCCAAATTTTAAAATTTCCAAACTCCCAAATTTTCAAATTTCCAGATTTCCAAATTTTCAGATTTCCAAATTTCAAAAATTCCAAAATTCCAAATTTCTAAATTTCCAAATTTCCAAATTTCCAAATTCCCATCTCCTTAAATTCCCACCTTCTTAAATTCCCATCTCCCTAAATTTCCATCTCTTTAAATTCCCACCCTCTTAAATTCCCATCTTCTTAAATTCCCATCTCCTTAATTTCCCATCTCCTCAAATTCCCACCTTCTTAAATTCCCATCTCCTTAAATTCCCATCTCCTTAAGTTCCCATCTCCCTAAATTCCCATCTTCCTAAATCCCCATCTCCCTAAATTCCCATCTCCTTAAATCCCCACCTTCCCAACTTCCCAAACCCCTAAATTTCCCCTTTCAAAAATTTATACAACAAACTACAAAAAGTTCTACTATTTATACCACAAATCGTTCTTCGTTTCCATTTTTATCTCTCTTCACATTTAATCTAATGGCTCTCTCCTTGTAATACATTCATTTTCGAGGTAAATCCACTTATGCTCGTTAAACGAGATCATTACTAATCATTTTTCCAACAACCTCCTCTTTATTCCATTACATTAAATTTATTATTTCGACTATGAAAACCGAAAAGGTGTTGAAACGACCTTCGATGCTTCACGATGTTCACATTTCATCGATTATCATGCTCTTTGAGCAACGTTTGACATTTTCTAACGACGAATACATTTCTATAAACTCCTTTTATTGTTCCAGTAGCCTTCGTGACATTCATACGCTTTCAACACACTCGATGTATTGTTTCCACGCTTCTTTTGATACACAATTTTTGAAGTAAACGGATGTCTGACGTAGATTCTTAGTAAACGAGGAGGTAAAAGTGTTGAGCTCTTTTCAACTTAATTTTGTGTTCGACACGAAAATATTATTGAATTTATGGCATAGGAATTTATTATTCTTTAGCAGAAGAATAATAAAGTAGACGTTATTAGTAGGTGTTATTGATTTGTTTTCTAAAAACTGGCCAGTGTTTACAACAAAATTTACATATGAGAAATAACAAACAATGGTTTGATTTATGAGCAAAAAATATTTGAAAATTCCTCTCAATTATTGTCACCGAACTTGTGTTCGTTTGTACAGTAGATAATCGATTGCCACCTGCAAATGTACCGAATTCGTCAGAATATATTAACTCACAATTCGAACAAACATTAATCAACTTTATAATACTACACTTCTGTCTTAAACACCTTGGAACGTTTCTTTAATCGTGATGAATAGTTTCAAATGAAATACGGATTACATGCAAGGTTATGCACTACAAAATCCTTGCGTGTCTTATGTGCTCGAAGGTTTGAAGATCCTTGAGAAACGTGAAGATTATGCTGTTTAAGTGATTTAATAAATTTGCATATTTATCGTCCGTGGAAAATGGGATCGGTGTTATAGATACAGATAAAGCAATTAGAAAACAGTTACATAAATGAATTTTGCTGGAATTTGTTTTTTGATGATGGAATCATTGTAGATTCCACTTGAAATTATCGACTACCTCTGATGAAGATGGATCTCACTATCACCTACCTCTGACACAACTAGACCTAAATTCTCAAAGACCTATTCTCAAATAATTCTGATGAAAGTAGACCTAAGCATCTAGTTCTGATAGAGCTAGCTGAAACTATTTCTGATGAAACGGGATTTAATATCTCTGACAAACCTAGACCTAACTATCCCATACCTCTGATGAAACTAGACCTAACAATCCAAACTACCTCTGATAAATTTAGACCTAACTATTCCATACCTCTGGTGAAACTAGACCTAACAATCCAAACTACCTCTGATAAATTTAGACCTAACTATTCCATACCTCTGGTGAAACTAGACCTAACAATCCAAACTACCTCTGATAAATTTAGACCTAACTATTCCATACCTCTGGTGAAACTAGACCTAACAATCCAAACTACCTCTGATAAATTTAGACCTAACTATTCCATACCTCTGGTGAAACTAGACCTAACAATCCAAACTACCTCTGATAAATTTAGACCTAACTATTCCATACCTCTGGTGAAACTAGACCTAACAATCCAAACTACCTCTGATAAATTTAGACCTAACTATTCCATACCTCTGGTGAAACTAGACCTAACAATCCAAACTACCTCTGATAAATTTAGACCTAACTATCCCATACCTCTGATGAAACTAAACCTAACAATCCAAAGTACCTTTGATAAAACTAGACCTAATCCAAACTACCTCTGATAAACTTAGACCTATTTGCAACTACGTCTGATAAACCTCGACCTAACTCTGATAAACCTAACTATCCGATAAACCAAGATCCAACCGTTCTCAACTACCAAACCTAGACCTCGACCTACGCTGAACAAACTATATTCAGAATCTGTAGAAATACCTTGGCGTATTTGTCGTCTCCTGACAGGAGGTGGAGCGCCGGTTCGTCGTCTCCTGGCGTAGGTGTGAACCGGTACAATCAGCCTCGGTCTCGGTATAAGGAATCCACCTTGGTTATTGCTGGGCTGAGTCACCTCCGATTCGCTATCCGTGGTGCCGGTACTGCTCGACCTTCTCGATTCCGAATCCTCTCTGGACGCGCTGACTCTGCTACCCTCCAGCACACCCTCCAGCTGAGAGATCACCTCAGCGTAGGGTTGCCTGTACTCCTCGTCGTGCTCCTTCGGAGGCTTATTCCTCCCGTTGCTCGTCCAATTTACTCCGCATTCGCGCCAGCTGGCTTCGTACAGCAGCTCCATCGCTCTTCCTCGAGTGGCGTCAGGGTCTAAGAGCAGCTCGGGGTCCTCCAGGACGGCTCGGCCGGGATAACTGCGGACCTTCATGTTTGTCGGCTGAGTCACTCCTTTTCTGCCTCTTCTTTACTGCTCGTGTAAACTTCTGTCAGAGGTTTTTCCTTTTAGGCATTCGATGATGGTTTTTAAGGTTAAAGGCTCGTTAAAGGACGTCAGTCAGAAATTAAAGTTTCTTGTTGTACGATTTAATTGTTCATCGTGATGGTCATTTTTTGGTCAACTAGCTTTTTGACGGTTCTATGATGAATCAGTTGGGATGCAGAAGCCAGGAGCTGAACAGAGATCTATCAGCCGGAGACATTAACTCGTCTCGAAGCCTCCAGTCCGTGATTTACCGTGAGAACGATGAAATTCGACACTGGTTCTTGGCTTTCTTCCAGCAGCAAGATCGATGGACCAGATCAGTTCTGTTTGACTATGCGTCAGCGCTCCAGTCAAAACTCTGCCGCGTCTGGGTCGACCGCGTTCCAGCACTAAATCACGGCGGAAAACACGTGCTTGGCTCTTCGATCAGGGCCCTTGACACCTGGTTTTCGGCTGGACAGCAGGTTCACGGCAAGTTATATATGAAGCATAAATCTCGACCTCGACTATAATCACTGTAATTGAACGGTCAGTTTTCTCATCGCAGAGCAACTTCTATTTCGATCCATGACCGGTACGGAGAACCTTCGGTGCACTTTGCGAGGCTGTGTCTTGCAACGGGAACCCAAGGATCGGGCCAAAGGAGATCGATGGATCGGTTGCGCAACCAGGTCCAATTATCGAACAATGAGAGGGCCAGTTCCGTTTTCAGCGGCGCGAACTTTCGATTCGGAGGCGACAGGAGAGCGGAGGAACTTGTGACAAAGGAGCAGCCGGGAATCCTGGCGTCACACGAACGAGGACACCAGCAGGACCACTCCTTCGAAACTGACGCTCACTGACAGCGTTCACGACTGGTGAAAAGTACGCCCGCAAAGACTGTGCACGAGAAACTCCCTTCCCCTCCGACTGTCGATCCCCCACCAGGCGAGCCGTTAGGGAGAGAAAGGACAGCGGTTCTCAAATCATAGTGATCGGCTTGCTGCAACCACTCCCACGAATATACTGGGTGTTCCTGATATGTGCTAATAAACCCCTATCGTTTTGATATTTTGCGAGAATGATGACCTTTGTTTCATTGATTCGAGGCTCTGAATATTCATAGACTCGTTCTGTTTAGGGATATGTTGACTCAAATGTTTTTTAAGTATTTCGTAATAAAAATTGGAGCAATATGAAATATATGTAAATTGAATGTGATGAGTTAATAGTATTTTGGCATGTGGTTAATTTGTGGGAATGTCACGCGAGAGAGTAGGGTTCGATTCTATAGGAACTTGTAAATTTTTTTTTTTATTGCATTCTTTGTTTATTGATGTAAAATTATGCAGTTTTAAGCTTGTATAAATAGAAAACGTGTTTTTGGTGATAGATATATTTTATGAGAATATTTTTTGTAAAATATACTGAAGTGTTTACAAAGAGTTGCTATATTTTTTATTGCAAAATACTGAAGAACGAGATGCAAGTCAATATTATAATAAATTAAATTTTGCATAAAAAGTGTAATAAGTCAAACTGTCATCTAATAAATCAACTGTCACACAAAAGATGTAGTTACTTCATTGTCATATACATTTCTAGTATTTGATACTATTTAATTCACAGCGAATGTTCATAAAATTTGAATGGAGAATACATTTACGTAACACATCAAGGTACATTTTCGAAACACGCGCCGGTCTATTAATCAAACAATTATTCGAACTGGTAACGGTGCATTTTCCAAGATTGCCGTGATTCGTATCGCAATATGTAAATTCGTATATAACTCGATATAAAAAGTCTACCTACATGTAACCGAGTAAATTAAAACTTGGTATGAAAAGCAGAAAGTGTAGCAAAAGAAAGGTAAAAGGTGTTACGAGTCTTAGTTTTGCAAAATGTATACATAAGCAATGAAAAAAAACTTGTCTTCCACGGTTGTTGGCTTTACGAATTACTATTTCTAGGAAAATAGGCATTTAGGTATATAGAAGCTGCAGTTATGAAGATTTTTATATCTATGAAAGAGATCTGGGGAAGTGGTGATTTGGAAAGGTAGAGATTTGGAAATGTGGGGATTTGGAATTGTAGGGATGAGGACATATGGGGATTTGGGGTGTAGGGATTGGGACATGTGGGGATTTGGGATTGTGAGAATTTGGGAGAGCAGAAATTTGGGTCAGAAAGAGATCTGGGGATGTACGAATCTAGGGACGTGGAGATTTGGGGGTTTAGAGATATGGGAATGTGGAGATTTAGCAATGTAGGGATGAGGACATGTGGGGATTTGAGGTGTAGGGATTTGGACATGTGGAGATTTGGGGTTGTGAGTATTTGGAAGGGCAGAAATTAGGGTTAGAAAGAGATTTGGGGGTGTAGGAATCCAGGAACGTAGAAATTTGAGGGTATAGAGATATGGGAATGTGGAGATTTAGCAATGTAGGGATGAGGACATGTGGCGATTTGGGGTGTAGGGATTTGGACATGTGGGGATGTGGAGTTATAAGAATTTGGAAGGGCAGAAATTTGGGTCAGAAAGAGATTTGGGGGTGTAGGAATCTAGGAACGTAGAGATTTGGGGGTATAGAGATATGGGAATGTGGAGATTTAGCAATGTGGGGATCAGAGCATGTAGGGATTCGGAGTGTAAGTATGTGGACATATGGAGATTTGGAGATATGAGCATCTAGGAGTGCAGAGATCCAGTAATGTAGGAATCAAAGTCACTTAGAAATTTTGATACATAGGAATTTGAAATTATATGAATCTCATGTAGGATCTGAAAATATCTTAGAATTTAGAGATCTAGAAACATCAAGATAAATGCCCATAGAGAAGACCTAGAAACCTATGGATTTATTTATTTATATGGAACACAGATAGTACATATACTCATCCATGGTCAACATCGCAAGTCTACCAAAACCCAATTCACCAAAATTAAAATAAAACTTCTAAACAAGAATATCACCCTTTATCATTAAAAAATCCAAATATTTAACATAGAGTTATTAATTCAAACGGTGCTCAGTTAAAGCTAGCAATTAACAAACCTGAAATAAATCTAGACATAAAAATGAGAAGATCTCGAATTTGTCTGCCACATTAATTTTCTCAATAATTACAACGTGCCACATAACCTAAGTACTCGTATCTATCTCGATTATGGTAGCTGAAGCGTTCAAATGAAAAGTATGTATATCAATTACATCGAGAAACGCAATTACTGTCGTATTTACATCGTAATCTCAAAAGTTGAGAATCTGTAGAGCCGGTTCAGTGAGAACCGAATGATAAGGATAATGCCGAGTATATTTTTCCTTCGTTTACTTGTTTGCTGCCCATAAATCGCGGTGAAATAATATACCTTAATTGTGGGAACAAGATCGGAAAGGTGGTAGACTGCGGATGTTTGTAGTGGGAAGATTACACGCAAAAGTGGAGCAATCTTGGTTAGGACGGTTCTTTTTTTTATGTTTCACGGTTGATTCAGTAGTTCTGTTTTATAGTGTACCGTTTAGGTTATTTGCACCGCCATGTTGTTTTGTCGAGTTTAATAACTTCATCCCGTGGCAATTTTCAGTGTCGGTGAAAGTCTGTTTTCCTGATGTGGTACACTTTTCACCGGTGCTTTTCGTTTATCTTTGTTCCAGATCATTTTGAAATTCTAGAAATTCTTATGTTTATTGCTTAAATTAAATTTGTATAAAAATTGATTGACTCTTATTCATTTTAGTAAATGTTATAGGTTTTGTGTTAAAAATTTTGTTTAAATAATTCAAAAGTATTGATCAGCTAAAATATTGAAAGAATAAATCAACAAATTTATTAAACAATTAATTAATTCCTAATATGTACACCATAGAATTATAATTCACTATATAAAAATAAATATTAATTATGTACACAACAAATTGAAAAATTCAAAACTATTTTTCATTTTATAAAAGTAAATTTCTATTAAAATTTAAATTCACGAAAAAAAGTACATATTGTACATATAAAAAATAAATACAGTAAAATTAATGAAAGAGAACGATTTCTTTTTTAAAAAGAAGAATTTGCACTGTAAGAGTTTGAATTTAAACTAATTTGTATTAAAAAATGTGAATGTGTGTCGGCAAAAGTATAAAGCGAATGAAAGTGATTTTCCCTCAATCATTTTTAAGTCAATTTTCATGTTCAAGTTGACAAGGAGACGTATCATTTTATAAATATATCCTAATCGACACATTAATTGCTATGCTGTTACGGTGCACGAACTTCCGAGAGAAAGGACAGTGGTTCTCATTGGAGCGTTAGATAACGTTTTGCACGCGTTTACTGCATCATTGAATTCTAAACGAGATTTTCATGTGTATCTTGCGAAAGGAAAATTCAATAGAAAGGAAAATTATGCAGGAAATCATCCGTTATTACTTCATGCGTTTTAAAATGTTCGGGTTTCATTCGCTGGGAAACGTATGTGACTGTTATAATATTGTCAAGAAAATTGTGTGTTAGGTTAGGTTAGGTTAACATGTAGTTGGCTTATTATACTATTTTATTATTTTAGAAATAGCAGTATGTTTGTCGTTTTATATTTGTTGTAATATAAAGAAAGAATACTTTAAAAAATTAAACTACTTTAAAAATTAAAAAATTGATGGTATATTTTATTTAGTAATTTTTAATTTTATATTAGGAATTTTTTTCAGCTGAGAGAGGCAAGTGTGAGATAGTACAATGTTAAGAAAATCACGAATCGTGAGTCATTTCAAATTTTTCTGTGAAATATCATAAATTCAACTTTTGAATTTAAAATCTATCACAAACTGCTGACATGTGGTGATGTTGCGTTCTACATATCTTGTTACGTGTATAAGATTCTGAAGTATCAGTTTACGTACAGAGAGAAAAAACTTCTATCTAGAGAACTGAGTTAATGTTAAAATTTGTGAAATTTTTAGGTTGTGAATTTACAAAATTTCGAGGTCTCAAGTTTCAAGTTCTGAAGTTAAATAATTCCATACTTCGAGAGCTTAAGGTTCAAGAATTCTAAATTTCGAGATGGTAAAGTTGACAAATTGCACTCCTCGAGATCTCAAAGTAGAAAAATTCCACTCTTCAAGATTTCAAAATTCCAAAATTCCAACTTTCAAGGTCTTACACTCCAAGAATTCTATATTTCAAGGTTTCAAAGTTTCAAAATTCCAAATTTCGAGATGTCAAATTTGATAAATTCCACTCCTCGAGATCTCAAAGTAGAAAAATTCCACTCTTAAAGATCTTAAAATTCTAAAATTCCAGCTTCCCAGATCGTACACTCCAAAAATTCCAAACTTCAAGGTTTCAAAGTTTCAAAATTCCAAATTTCGAGATGTCAAAGTTGACAAATTCCATTCTTCGAGATCTCAAAGTAGAAAAATTCCACCCCTCCATATCTTAAAGTAGAAAAATTCCACTCTTCAAGATCCCAAAATTCTAAAATTCCGACTTCCCAGATCTCACGCTCCAAAAATTCCAAACTTCAAGATCTGCAAATTAAAAAATTCCAAAACCCCGAAATTCCCACCCTCCAAGCTCACATCTAAAACTCCCAAACTCATAAAATTCCAAAACACCAAAAATCCCCCTCAAAAAATTCCCCTCCCTAAAAAAACTCCCGAACCGACTATGCCGAGGATCCTCCAAACGCGTTCGCGCCCACATCGCACACATGTCCGCCCCTCCACACATAACATCACACACTCGCCAATAGACGTCACTCAATACTGAAGACGACACTCGTCAATATACATCTCTCACGATACCGACCCGAATTTTGGTAATAAGACAGAAACAAACAGAATCTACCACACGTCATTTAACACGGTAAACAGATAACCGTTTTATTTTCGTCCGACTTTTTATCAAAACACATCTCTGTCTGTTGAAACGACACGGATTCACGGCGGTAATTGTTTGCGTAATGGTTACGCGACACCGATATAAACGTTAAATGTTTACACAGTCGGTTAAACCGTGGTTGTAGCACATAAAAATTTGCGTGGTTACATTACGGCTGACTCATTATGCTCGTATTTAATTGTAGTATGGTTGCGCAAAGCGTGTCTGAAACGCGTTTAACCGGAACCGGAAGTAAAAGGAAATTCACCGACCAACGAAACGTGGTTTCGTGTAATAACCATGTAAGAAAGTTGCCTGGAATTTCAGGTCCGAACGTGATTTCGTTTCTGTGTTAAACGAATTGTTTGGTGACTAATGCTACAGGGTGGTTCATTTAGAGAGGTCCTCTATAATATGTTAAAATAAAAACATTTTTTAAACTAATAATTTTTTGACGTACCTATGTTAGTGATTTTTTAACTAATGCTACAGGGTGGTTCATTTAGAGAGGTCCTCTATAATGTATTCAAATTGAAACATTTTTTAAACTAATAATTTTTTGACGTACCTATGTTTGTGATTTTTTAACTAATGCTACAGGGTGGTTCATTTAGAGAGGTCCTCTATAATGTATTCAAATTGAAACATTTTTTAAACTAATAATTTTTTGACGTACCTATGTTAGTGATTTTTTAACTAATGCTACAGGGTGGTTCATTTAGAGAGGTCCTCTATAATGTATTCAAATTGAAACATTTTTTAAACTAATAATTTTTTGACGTACCTATGTTAGTGATTTTTTAACTAATGCTACAGGGTGGTTCATTTAGAGAGGTCCTCTATAATGTATTCAAATTGAAACATTTTTTAAACTAATAATTTTTTGACGTACCTATGTTAGTGATTTTTTAACTAATGCTACAGGGTGGTTCATTTAGAGAGGTCCTCTATAATGTATTCAAATTGAAACATTTTTTAAACTAATAATTTTTTGACGTACCTATGTTTGTGATTTTTTAACTAATGCTACAGGGTGGTTCATTTAGAGAGGTCCTCTATAATGTATTCAAATTGAAACATTTTTTAAACTAATAATTTTTTGACGTACCTATGTTAGTGATTTTTTAACTAATGCTACAGGGTGGTTCATTTAGAGAGGTCCTCTATAATGTATTCAAATTGAAACATTTTTTAAACTAACAATTTTTTGACATACCTATGTTAGTAATTCTTAGAACTATCCTATAATATTATATTTTTAAATATCTCCTGAACTAATGGTTTCTCAAAATAAATAGGTTAATGATTTTTCACAGAAAATGATCAGCTACATATATTAGAAAAAAGATGAAGTCTCTTCATATGTCCCTCACGCTTTTGTCTATAAAATATTAATATAGAATCTCCTTTCAGTTCCATTGGAAACATATTTTTGTATCATGAATAATTTTGAAGATATTCGAATGAAACACCCTGTATCTTCATCCTAACTTATCTTAATTATTACAATGCAGTACAGTTTTTTGTTATTTTGAGTCTTTGAGTTAAACTGTGGGCAGTGAAAATTACGGGGTGTTTCAAAAAATGAGTTATCTTCAAAAGAAATTATTATTTTAATGAACAAGTAATAACAGATATTGCTTATTTTTAAACAAATAATATGGTATTTATCGTGTATCGCGTGTACTCAAACATGTACATCATCATGGATAATAAAGCTTATTTCACAAAAGTGGTCTTAATAATAGCCGGCATTATAACGGCAATAAAAAACGCGGCATACCTTCAATAACATTCTATTTATAGCCAGTGGCGTGGAAACCGGTTTTTTGGAAGAAAAGGCGCGACTTGAATCACTCGTTTTTCTAAAAAAATTATGAATCATACGAGTTGCATAGCTGCGCTGAGGTCAGAGTGAAGTTGTTCAGAAAGATGTATGCGGTGAACTTTCCGGGTAATTTAAACTACTTTCACTGGATTTGTTAGTGAATTAATTAAAGGTACTCATGGTTACTCATAAATTAGTTATTTATTCATTCTTTTGCTAAGTACTATTTCAGAATATTAAACTTGATAGTGTTCTGTAAAATTTAATAAAATTCAATAATTTTCTGCAGAGAGATTATAATATTGAACACGAGTTACTTCGAAAGCTAAAAAGTATAATGTTGCAATAATTAATAACAGAATAGTTCAATAGTTAACAATGCAATATTGCAAATGAGTTTTAGATATTTGCATAATGAGACAACCTGTATAAAAATTATTTTCAATTAACAAATTTAAAAATACAACAAATGTTAGAATTTCTTAGACGATTTTATAAATAAAAATTTGAGTATCATAAAATTTACACCATGAGTGAAAGGCAATATAATAGAAATAATCTTGAAATTGTACAGAAATTTTGAAGTCAATGACTTACCTTCCATAACATATACAATGGAGCCAACATCTCCTTCTCTTATAATAGTAGACCCAGCTGAAAAAGTAACAGGATACATGCAATCCACGATCTCCCTGATTTGCGTCAGCTCCAGGTTCTTCATGAAGTCATTGTCCAAAATGGCCGCTTTGATCAGCTCACGAGACCTTTAAAATAAACACACAATCCTTTTTGTTTCATTCAATGCTTATTTTACATCGAGGGAAGATAACTGTCACAAGTAGCATAATTCATATTATTACAGGTAATAATAAGATAGCTTATTACACTCATAAAATTGTGCATATATATACTTTGTATACATTGTAAAAATTGTAAGAATAAGTGTAAGTATACACTTGGGAATTTTTGCAAGATTTGTTTAGTTTCATTGGTTAGTGATTTATGTAGGTTATGTTGAATTGTGTATTCAATTTCTGGATTTAGAAAATTGCAAACTTGCAACGTTCCAAATTTCCAAACTTGCAAAGTACCAAATTTATAAATTTCTGAATTTCCAAATTCCCAAACTTGCAAAGTCTCAAATTCACGAGTTTCTAAATTCCAAAATTTCCCAACTTGCAAAGTTCCAAATTTCCAAATTTCCAAACTTGCAAAGTTCCAAATTCCCAAATTTCCAAACTTGCAAAGTTCCAAATTCACAAATTTCCAACCTTGCAAATTTCCAAATTCCCAAATTTCCAAACTTGCAAATTTCCAAATTCCCAAATTTCCAAATTTCCAAATTCCCAAACTTGCAAAGTCCCAAATTCACAAATTTCCAAACTTGCAAAGTTCCAAATTCCCAAATTTCCAAACTTGCAAAGTTCCAAATTCCCAAATTTCCAAACTCGCAAAGTCCCAAATTCCCAAATTTCCAAATTCCTAAATTTCCAAACTCGCAAAGTACCAAATTAAAACCAAAGAACACAAAGAAAATCTGTTCCCCTCAGTCCAACAGATGGCACTTAACAAATCATTTCACGAATCTTGTAACAGCGATTCGTTCTTGACTCGTATTAGCATTGCAAAAGAAAGGTTGTAACACTAGAGATATCAAGGGTTTCTAAGCGACTCTAATGGTAATTTCGAAGTCAACAACTCACGTCGTGCATTTAATATGACCCACAGTCAATGCTCCGAAGGTAATGCTCTCATTTATTCTCAGAGCGAAACATCAAAAGCGCCGAACTATGTTTATCGTGCTCTGCACCTGTTGCACATTTTGCGATACCACAAGCTGTGCTTCGAATAAGTGTTCTCTTCGACGGTCTAACCGTAGCCTAATCGTCTATTATTAAATCTTCTTGCGTTTCAGAATAATCGATTATAACGATCGTGTGTAATAACGATTATTCTCTTTACAAGCGTTACGCAATATAGATTTTTTGTTGGGAGGTTTATGTTGATTGCGGTACAGTAGAGTCTCGTTATATTGCCGTCGTTAAAATTCAATTGGAGTCTTTTTGATACTTATGCTGATGAATAGATTTTTATGAGAGAATATTTGTTTGTCTATGATTGATTTAATTTAAAGATTTGGGAAATTTAGGAAAATTTGAAAGATTGAGAAAATTGAAGAATTTAGAAAATTTAGGAAATTTGAAGACTTTAGAAAATTTAGGAAAATTGAGAAGTTTGAAGAGTTTAACAAATTTGAGAAAATTGGGAAGATTGAGAAATTTGAGGACTTTAGAAAATTTGGGAAAATTGAGAAATTTGAAGAGTTTAAAAAATTTGAAAAAACTGGGAAGATTGAGAAATTTGAAGAATTTAGAAAATTTAGGAAATTTGAATATTTTAGAAAATTTAGGAAAATTGAGAAATTTGAAGAGTTTATAAAATTTGAAAAAACTGGGAAGATTGAAAAATTTGAAGAATTTAAAAAATTTATGAAATTCGTTAAACTTAAAAATGTCAGAATCTAATCTTGTAAAATCCAGTCTGCTTCACAAACCATACATTACAATTTATATAAACTTTCAAAGAATGGTTAGAAAGTAAATGAAAAGAAGAAACAACGAAGGAGTTAACGAATCCACGTGGCATGCATCGAAAACAGTTTCACTGTAACACTTTGTCACGTATTTTTGCGGCAGCGTAATTTGTATAGGTGAAACTATCAGTCCTATTACGCAACCAACGACTAAATTTCACTCTTAATAATAGCTATGGCAATCGCCGAGTCATCGATCTCTGTGGTTGACCTCGAATTCGAAACTTTTATGGTGTGTTGTTTTCTTTTGAATGTTTTACTGAGTCCTCCGATGTACGTCTTAACATTTTATTAACTGTTATGACATATTTATGTATGAAGTACTTTCTGTACTCCAAACAAATTTTATTCGTAGCAATCAAAGATATGTTGTTTTATTAAAAAAATTAGTGGAAGGATACTTTTGGAGGATAGGTTAATGTGACATTCATAACCTATAAGTAGAACGTCTGTGAACAAATTTTAGGTCGAATTTGCTTGTTCCTTTTTGGAGAAGATTTTTTGGTACACATATTTTTAGCTTTCTTGATAGATGAAATTATCATAGTGCATGAATATTTTGTGTCAGGGTAAGATTAATAGGGTAAGAATAATCTCATATGTTTAAGATGGTACTTCAAATGTGAAGAAATGAAGAGATGTGGAGGTATAGGGATTTAAGTATGTGAAGATATAGAGATACACATATGTGGAGATGTGAGTATATGCAAATCTAGAGATATAGAGATACACGTATGTGGTGATGTGAGTATATGCAAATCTAGAGATATAAAAATTTGGAGCCATAAGGATGTGGAGATATAGTGATCTAAATAAGATGTACAAAGATATATGGAGATGTAGGAATACAGTGATCTAGTCATACATAAATATTTGTATACACTTATACGTAAATCCAGAGATAAGTATCTGAGAATATAGTGATCTCTAATCTCTATACATAGATCTAAGTCCAACATACATGAAGATTTCTCAATATACTAATTTGTGCATATGGAACACTTGAACACAAATATAACCATACGCAGATTCGAATATACAGAATCCAAACATATGAATCTGTATCCAATACTTCACTACATTTCAAAAAATAGAGCAGAGAGTTACCAAATGTTCTAATTAAACTTCAATCTCATCAATTTCCCCGAAACCTAAAAAAACCTTGAAAACCTCCTATACCAACAGCTCCCTCGTCAGACAGAAACCGTATATTATCACAAGATGGCGACCCTGTTACGAGTCGAGTCGCGCCCTGTCCAAACATCGCGTCGCATAAAAAGGTTCGAAAAAACCGTCGTTCTATTAAAATCTCCGCCTGAAATAAACCAAGAGTAGATCACCTCACGCGATGAAACCAATAAACTCTCGGTACCTTTGAGGCTTCGGAAACTTCTGAACGATCATGCGGCTGTCTCTGGCGAGCGGCTCAGCTGAAATAGCTTGTCTCTTGGCCCTCTGGCCAGGGCCGATGCCACTGGAGGCCAAACTGAAGTCGACAATTTGTCGGAACTTGTCAATCTCGTTCTGAAGATAGCGAATAGTCGAATCTCGCTCGTCGATAGTCTTCTCCAGCAACTCGATCATCTCGTCGCGACGGCGGAGAGCCTCTGTCCGCTCGTACAGCAGCCTCTTCAGGTCCCGTATCGAATCCATGCTCCTCGGATGTTCTTCTGCCACTGGACACTTTAATCCTTTTCCTTATAACGACCCGTTACGATTGCGAGGGGGCAAAATATGCGTGCAGTAAATCGAGTTTAAGTTTTAGATATTTTAGCGTTTAAGGAAGACTTTTTGACATTTTGTGGAGATAGCTTTTGGACACTTATCATTTTCACTAAATCATTTTTTATTGGTTTTTGAATGTTTTTGCAAGCTCTTGCAAGTTTTAGTTGAACTATTAGCTACTTAGGATAGTATCTTTTTAAGTATGGTTATTTTATTATAATAGAATTTCTTTTTTTACGAAAAAGTTTAAGAATGTGTTTTTATTAATTCATGTTTGCTATTTAAGTATGTGGTGTTTTTAAGAAATGGTCATTCTGGTGGTGACTTGTAGAGTTTATAAAAATTTATCAATTTTTGTTATCAATTTTAGTTTTAACAATGATGTTATCTTTTTAATAATCAATTATTTTAGTTTTAACAATGATGTTATCTTTTTAATAATCAACTATTAATTAATCCAGTAAAAATTGAAAGGCTCGTTCAGTGAAATAGGAACACATAAACAAATGTCGGCCCCCGAAAATTCTCTTCCTAACCTATAAATTTGATCGACCAAGACAAATAATCAGCTGTGGCATAACTGACACAGAGTAAACTTGAATTTCACGTCATCAAAAATCTCTGTGCATTAAAATTGATATACCAGAGATCGAAGATAGCTGATTCTAGAGATAACGAATTATTTTCGAAATGACACTGACTTCCACGGTATCTACGGACATTTATTACATCCGTAGACCGAAATAGATATTAATAGATCATAGATCCTGTTCCGCTACTGCTATCATTTGCTTGCCAAAATTCTGCATGCTTCAGAAATAAGTCTTTCGATTATCTATTGAACGCAATTAATAATTGGAATAATAGGAATTTTAGAATGAAGTAGTTAGCGTTTGCATGCATCTCGATGGCGAAGCACTTTCGAAAATGGCCGCGGAGTAACAATGACACCTTTGAGTCATGGTCTTGTAACAGAATTCCTTTTGAAATAAAAAGTAAAATACAAATGCAATTTTTTTGGATTTGAAGAATGAACTATTGTTGAGTAATTTAGTGTGTGAATATTTTTAATACTTTAATATACGTTGCATATGTGTTGAGTATTGATAGGTTAATTTAGTGTTAGATTTAATTTTAAATGTTTTTAAACATCATTTTAATTTATATTGAAAGGAAAATTAATACTGCACGCAACTCGACTAACTTTCAATTATAAAATTGGTGAAGAATAATTTATTTCGAATTTCGTAATTAAAAGTTCATCACTGATAAGTATATTTTTTTCCAAATAATTTTTCATAAATAATTTTCATAAAAAAAAATTCTAAAATGACTACTTGTAAAGAAATCATAGAATTGAAACTTACAGTATTTTTATTTAACTGCCAGTAATATAAACTCCGCAACATAATTGATTTTTTCTAAAATAACAATTTGTTCAGGTTA